TGTACCCCAGAGTTTTTATGCAAAGTAAATAAAATGATGGCTATAGAGGAATTCATTATATCATTTTCTACTTTTATTATAAGGCTATAAAAAAATAAGATAAAGGGGAGAGGGGGAATATTTGCCAGACATCCAGTTTGGTAACTTAAGTGATGATGGTTCTGCTTTCAAAGATGGGTAAGACTACAAGAGATAGGTGCTTTATTTTGTTTGGGGTTTATTTGGGGAGAAGGGATTATGGAAGAGATTTTTCAAAAGCACATTCCTTTTCAGAAAACTACCTCCACCTAGTTTACTCATTTGTGCAGACAATATTAATAAAGATTATCATTACCTGTTTCCTCTATCTTCATCATCAAATAATATGTGTTAAAAAGTGTTTCATAAGTGTAATCTGTTATACCAGCACTACTGTGCATAGTCAAAGTCGTCTTATCTATAAGTATTAGTGGCCCTGGGATCAATGCCTATAAGTTAAGCTTGGGTTCCCTTTCAAAATGGCACATAAATTTTGGTCAAATAGGTATTGAGTATACATGACTTGTACACAGAAATACATAGGGACATAGGTAAGTCTATGAAGGGAAGGAGACACAGGAGACATTCCCAAGCCATCTTTTCCAATAGGCCATCATAGAATTTAAACAACGGTATTACACTTACCAGGTTTACAATATAATATTCAATATTTATCACAAAAAATAATAAAAATATAACACCTCACTTGTAAAATATTGAAATGTCAAGAAATTGTTACTGACAGCAATTTAAGCTTTACATGTTATAGGGTACATATAACTTTAAAGAGTACAATACAAAAAAAAAAGGCAGTGAATGATGGCAGTGAATATGTAGGAAAAAATACAGCTCAGGAAGACTTAATTCCACTTGTTCCCAGGGGAAATAAAAAGAAGGCTTAAGAGAGCATTTAGTAAGTACTAGGTCCTACATGCATTGTGCTTTAATTCCTCATAATAGTCATAAAAATACTGTCATTTTAAAAATAAATAGCTTTATAAAATTACATTTGCTTTTTACAGATGACAAACTGAGGAACGAAAGGGCTGGCAAATCAGTAATGTCAGTTTACAGAGAAAATGTTAAACCTTCCAATAAACTTGAGAGCTCTAAAAGCACTCCATTAATGTTATCTTGAGTGTTAAATCAGTGCCTCTTAGGGTATCAGTTATCTATGAAACTTTAAAATTCAAAAGCCCTAGCTTACTGGGGACTACTAGCACCTATTGTTTTTTCAAATCCTACCTGTGAGATTCTGATGTGAAGTTAGAGGCAAGAAATCACTGTGCTAAAGATTATTATTTGGTCAAGCAGCTTAAATCTATCCCCCAGTAATATTTTCATAGTGATGACTGAATTACCAAACCTACAACATTGCTTTCTCACACACTATTTCTTTGTGACATAAATCATTTTCACTGTAATAAAATATTATATAATAAACCTAACATATCCAATCACAAAACTTAGTAATCCATTATCCTTGTGACTCTATACAGCCTTGAAAGAAAAATAAACAAATAAAGTGAAAAGTCAAACTAAAACTAACACTATTATGCTAGGTAAGGCTTTTGTTGAGATTAAATGGTGATTCACACCATAATTATGTTCCTAAAAGCTACTACAGAGGTTTGAACACAGATTTACTGAGACAATCCTGTTCTACCAGGTGCCACTCAATTAATTCTCTACCACCTTTTTCTATTTCAGTGACCTTCAAAAACTGTGAACCCAGATAATCAGCACCTGATAATCTGTTCAAAATCCAAATTCTCAAATCCTTCCCCATGCCAATGAAATCAGATCTCTAGGCCGAAGGCCCAGCCAGCTATGTCAACAAGCCCTCCACACAACTGTGATGTGACACCTCTGCTCTACTAGACTGCAGAGACATGTTGACAGAGCTGTGCCAGTGCACCATCCCCTCCCTCAGCCCCAAAATGTCGTTTGCACATTACATCTCCGCTATTGTTTCTTCATAGTCCCCAGTACCTGGGGTCAAAACACAAATGGAACAAGCATCATCTGTGCTTGTAGCTGAATTAAATTATAGGATGACGATTTTTCTTATGTCAGAATATTCTTATATTATACTTAGAATCCTGAAATAAAAACAAAAAGATTTTTTAAAACTTAAAAATCTTTGTCTTATTGAAAACTCCTTAAAAATCAATCACCTGAGGCCCTCCCTGGTGGCCCAGCGGGTTAAAGCACTGCACTGAGAAGCTAAAGCCACTTCCACGTGAGTTTGATCCCCGCCTGCCCCGGAGGTGACCACATGGCGTGGCAGACCTCTCCTGACCCGCCTGCTGCTCCCCTCAGCAGTGTACTTCATTGATCTGCCTGTTCTGTTCCCCACTCTGTCTCTGGTGAAGCCTCTCACCGCCCCTGAGCCTCTGGCCTGTACCCCAGTTCTGTATGCACAAATAAATAAATCTTTAAAAAAAAAAAAAAAGTATATGCTTTTTTTAAATAAATAAATAAATCTTTTTTAAAAAGTATATGCTTATAAATAATGTTAATTTTCTTAAATTATTCCACAGGTTGTAATCAAACTGGAAAAGCATGAGTGGATAACATCTTTAAATATTTTATCTGACAAAGTTCAAAGAAAAAATATTTCTGGTAGGAGACATTAAGTACTAACAAAATTTAACTTACCATATAATCCATGTGCTCAGACTAATTACAATACAATGAGGCTCTGTTTTCCAGCTCTTGAAGTGTTTCAATGAATGCTGGCTCTCTGAGTTTTTACCACATCCCTAAAGATGAACAGAATGCTATTTGTATAATTTACATACAGGTTTGTTTGCAATAAAAGCTTAAAACAGGGCCCGGTGGCCTACAGTTTAAATCCCAGCACTATAACTGCTAAGGTCTGAGTTTGATCTCCCAACAGAGAGCTGACCCACATATGGCCAGGCAGACCTCTCCTGCCTTGCCTGCTGAACCCCGTGGCAGTGTATTTCAGTAAATCCACCTGTTCTGCTTCCCACTCTGTCTTTGCTGAATCCTCACCCCTGCACCTGGTCTGTACCCCAGAGTTTTTATGCAAAGTAAATAAAAGTTAAAAAATAATAATAAAGCTTAAAACATACTCAACTATGTTGATACTAAAAAAGTTGTTAATAATTTCAAGAAAGAGGGAAAAGTTTCAAAAAACTATTTTCTTCTTAAATTTAATTTCTTGCAAAGATACTAACTTGGTTTTTGTTAAATACTATTTACCTAACACTATCATGCGCCAAGTAATTTCTCTATCATTTAAAAAGCTATCTACTCTTTGTCATGTCTATGGTGGGTCACTGCAGCCGTTGTGCCCAGTAAGATCACAGCACTGCACTCCTTCCCCTTACACACTTAATACCATGCACACCTACACTGCAGACTGACTGAAAACTAGTGAGACTGAAGCCAGTCACAGAAATTTCAAGAAATGAAATTCAATTTTAGTCAATGCAACATGAAGGGCAGTTTCCTGGATATTTCTGGCAACACATTACATATTTTTTAAAAAGAACACAGAGAAGAGATCTAATTTTTGCCCTCTTCCTGGTCTTTTGGAATGTTGTGTGATACATAATGTATTAAACATCCCTGGCAATACTGGAACTGTGAAATTAAGACCCAACAGGAAAACAGAAGAAATCTCAGATTCCAAAGTTCTTCCCTTTGAATTAACTAACCCAGAAGTGGTCATAGCTTTGGACTTCCTCTGTGATTCTCATTTTTAAAAGAAAGCATATCCTTTTTTTTTAAATCAAAATTTCTTTGCTCTAGCTATCAAGCATTTCTAAGCTGTTAAGCTAAATTATTTTGAAGACTGGGTAAAATAATACTTTCTTAGAAAAAAAAAACCACTTTTTAAATAAATACAAATAGGTAATGGCAGATCCAGAAATGTATTTATAATCACATATGATGGCTTTTTAAACATAACCGATCTTTTACTTTATCTTAATAAACATTTCTAAGTTCAGTCTTGGAAAGACTGCATCTCAACATGGGATAACTTTCCCTGCGTTACCATAGTACAACTCCTTCTGAGAAGGAGTTGTACTATTATGTATTTTAAAGTACTATATATTTTAAGGTAAACTCATATAGAGAAAGTGCTTTTCTCACCTGAAAACCACACTTGAGGCACAACCAAATATCAGAAGATAGCACAGGCTGCCCATCACAGAGTCGTCTTTCTTTTAAACATTCTGAGCAAACTGACCACAGGTTCTCAGTTGTTGCTCTCTTCACATGATTCAAACTAACAGCATGACTTACATGTTGGCAAGTGAAACCTACTGAAAAACAAAACAAAACAAAACTTGAACATTTTCTTTGCTAAAACAAATTACTAATCTCAGTAAACAAAAGTCAGTAGCATTAAATGCTGTAACCAGAGTGGGCCTCCCTGGTGGCACAAGGGGTTAAGTCTCAGCACTATGAAGATATCAGTATGAATTGGATCCCCAGCCAGAGAGCTGACTTATGTGGGGTGGCAGACCTCTCCTGACCTGCCCTATGTTCCCCTCAGCAGTGTATATCAGTATATCTGCCTGTTCTGCTCCCACTGTCTCTGGGGAATCTTCTCACCCCGCCAACCACAACTCTGACCTATACCCCAGCTCGTGTATGCATAAATAAACCTTTTTTAAAATAAAATGATTTAGGGCCCTCCCTGGTGGCGCAGGGAGTTAAAGCACAGCACTAAGAAGCTTAAGCCGATTCTGCATGAGTTTGATCCCGCCTGTCCCGGAGGAGATAGATCCACATGGCCCGGCAGACCTCTCCTGACCCACCCGCTGCTCCCCTTAGCAGTATACTTCATTGATCTGCCTGTTCTGCTCCGCACTCTGTCTCTGGTGAATCCTCTCACCCTCCACATTTCTGGCCTGTACCCCAGTTCTGTATGAATAAATAAATCTTTAAAAAAAATAAATAAAATGATTTACACGGGGATTACAACTGAGATGGAAAAAGGCACAAAATGATGTAAAAATAAACTATTATATTATTTTTAAAAAAATAAAATGATTAGATAGCAGAGAATCAAAAAGCAAGACTCAATTTCACTGCACTTCCATTTATAAAACATTAATAAAATAACTCAATTTTAACTCACTGCAGACCAGATCACTGGCCACAGGGACAATGGGGGGGGGGGGGTAGGGAGTGTGACTATAAGTAGGCAGAACTTGGGAAGCTGATTGTACAGTCAAGTATACTGATTACAGTCATACAAAGCTACACAGGTAATAAGATGCCTAGAGCTGTATAGCTGGTGAAATGTGAATAAGCTGTAAGGACTGTACTGATGTCAGTTACCTGGCTTTGATATTATACTTTACTTACAAACATAAGACATTAAATCAGAAGAGGCAGGGTGACAGAGACTTCATGTCACTGCACCTTCCTGTGCATTTATAATTAGCTCAAAAATAAAAGGCTTAAAGCAAAATATTCTAAGACACTAACAAAGTTAAAAACACTTAAAATGAAAATAATATATTGAAAGCATCTCAATGGAGAGCTGAACTGTCAAGAAAGTCAGAAAAATTCTCAGAGACAAAAATTAAAAAGTTGAGACTAAAGGTGTTTAAAAATCAGTCAGCAGCTCCAAGGGTCATCTGTCCACCTTGGTGACAGGGAGACTTGGATTTAACAGGCCATGAATGAGAAGCCAAAAAGAAAAGACAATTCTAAGTTAAAAAAAAAACAAAAGAAAAAGAAAAACAACAGGGTTTTAGGGAACAAGACAAGCTGATTTTAAATGAAGAAAATGATAAAAATAAAAAGCAAAGGATTTATTAATTACAAATAACACACTATTTAGGAAGACAGATCACAATTTACCAGCAATGTCATCTGAAGAGTCTTCATCATGAGGTATAGTAGGCCTTTTACTTCTTTTGGCTTTTTCAGCTAAAGCTTTGGTTGGCTCCTTTACCCGCATCTGTTATTTACTAGAAACATTGAAGGCAAAGAAATAAACTTTAATACTCAAAACCAGTGTTTTTTATTTTGATTTTTTTTAGTTAATGCATATAAAAACTAAAATGATTTCAGTGTTAACTAGTCTAGTAAACCAATAGTGAAAGAAAAAATCTTTATTAAAACAAATTGATACATTATATTATACTTTCACCAACTAATACATAAACATGCTATCCAATGAATAATTAGTGCTACTTCTGAGTCACTCGCCCTCCTTACAGTGTCTTTTATTTCACAAACTAGAAGATAGTAGGAGTTGAAAAGCCATGAAGGACCAGGAATGGAAGCCATGTGCCAAGCACAATAGAGCTACTCTTCCTGACCTAACATTAAATAAAATAAATTTTATTTAAATTTACTTTCATAAATAAAGTTTATTTTTAAGTTTCTTTTAGATAATACATTAGCATTTCCCTCATTTTTTAGTATGAAAAAATTTTAACTTCTACAATTTACTATGTAGATTTCTTAACTTTAACACTTTGCCACATGTTTCATATAAATATCAATGTGTATAAAGACACATATATACTTATTTTTTTTCTGAACTACTTGAAATTTGCAGAAATTGTAACACTTCAACCCTAGATACTTCAGTAGGAATCCCTTAATAAGGACATTCTCCTATATAATCACATCATTATCACATTTAAGAAAACTAACAATTTGCTTATATCATCTAGTATTGCATATTTTTAATTTCTTCAGTTGATCCAAGTGTCTTCTATACTGTTTTTTTCTTTAATGAGGATCAATTAGGATTTGCACTTTGTACTGATTATCTCTTTACTGCTTTCTAATTGACCACTGCTCTCCCATCTTAGCCAACTTTTTAAAGAAATCAGATCAGTGTGTATCAACCATCTTGATCAGTTCAATAAAATGTGGATTTTTATTCGGAAAGCCTGGCATAGGACCTGAAATTTATTTGTAACAATCCCCTGAGATGTTGCTGGGGGTCCACAGACCATGTTTTCAACAACAAGGTTACATAATGTCCCACAATGAAAATTTGTCTCTTCCTAGTATTATATACAACTCTATCTCTTACATTTAATAAAACTCAAAAGTTAATTCTGAAGATTTGAAATACATTTCAAAGGTTTCAAGCTTTTGAAACTCTACTTTGGAGTCTTTGTTGGAGTTACTTAATATCATTCTGCTCTATGGCTAAGTTACACTGTAATTTTCATAGGGGTTACATTTACTTTCACTGATGAGTGGGGGAATCTCTCATTAATAAACTCTGAATATTGATTTAGTCATAAGGGAGCTTTGAGGCTTACCATTTTAGTAGTCATTTATCTAAGACAAGGGTTATCAGTGATGAATTGAGCCTCAATAGTGAATAGCTTCAGTGTTTTTTGGAAATGCATAAAGTCACAAGTTCCCTGACCACTTAATCTCGAACTACCAGCTCTCTCGCTGATAATCTTCCTCACCCACCCCTACACCTCCAATTTACAAAGTCACTAATTCAAATATTCTGTTCTCTGATCACAACTGCCAATAAGTTCTTCCAATTTGCTAGTTTCCTAGTCTCCTTTAGTATTCAGGCTTCCATGATCACTATAGCTGGACAAAGAGTAGGGGACATGGCAAAAGGAATGCTGATTCTCAAAACTTTACCTAGAAGTGATACATCACACCTACTCATATTTTACTAGCCAAAGCCATTTAATTTCAAGTAGACATGGTATTTATGTGTACAGAATGCAGTCTTATCATGCATACCTAGAAAGAACAGAAAATATGTACACTGCCTTAGCTGCTACCGTATCACCCCTTTGTCAAGCCCCAATCCTACATGGCCTTAGTAACTACTTTCTCCATGTCTGTATCCAAACAGGTTGGACAAAGTCTTGTGATAAGACTGGGTCACCCCATTCATAATCATCATCTCAAATGAACCAAGACATCCCATTGTTATACTGTCTGGTAATCTTACTTTACCTACTCCTCACAAGTCACTTGAAATCTTTTTAATTCTCCCAAGTCTCTAACTCCCCACTTCTCAAAAAATAATCTAGCCTTCTCCTTTACTGAAAGAGCAATAATCAGATGGCAACTTTTATCTTCCTACCCACAAACTTACAAACCTATTTCCATTTGATGTCCTGAAAACAGATAGACATAACCATATGAACCCAGAAAAATGACCCATGCGAAAGTGATCATAGTTTTTCCCTAAAAGCACAGATAAATTCTCGATAAAGATGAACATTAGCAAACAGACAATGTTGGCAGAATAAAAAGAAACAACCTAACCTCTGAGAAAGACCTACGCTTTTTTTTGCAGAAACACTGACAACATGACAATGAAGAGTCAATTTCCAGTGATTCAGACATATGCAGTATGTCTAAACATGAAGAATCATTTTTGTCAGTCATGGAATATCAGCAATGTGTGTGCAATGTCTATGAAGAAGTCTACAAAACCCAGTTTTTTATGGGTACTGATAACTTCAGCACAAACGATATAGTTAAGCAACAACTACATTGTTCCCAAGTGGGAACTCTAAAATCCAAGTTCCCAGTGCCAAATAAAGGCACTTTAAAAAGCAGGCATGCCCTTCTAAGAAAAGTAGTCCCAAATCTGCTATGTTAAATCTTTTTGGCACAGGTATAGGCTGGCCATTTTTTTTGCATGGCTCTCCAAATATCAGTTTTAGTTTTCAGTATCATCATTACTCCGGCCTTGTCTTTTCTCTTGTGTAGGATGTGCAACTAAGTCTTTTGCAAATAAGGTTTAGAAAAATAAAAAGCTATGCAGAGAACCGTTCCTACTCTCAAAAAAGAAAGAAATCTTATTTTTTCCTTTTATTCTTGGGCAATTATTTTCGAAGGGGACACAGGAAGGAGAGGGACACAGCTCTTTTAGATGCCGGGTTCAAACACACAAACAGTACTTACATACTTTTGCTATCACGCTCCATTACAAGCACGTAAATATACTAACCCACTTAATGCTCACAACCACCTTATGTGACAGAGTGCCATTATTTCCCCCATTTTACACATAAAACCGAGACGCTGAAGTTGAGTGATTTGAAGAGAGGATCGGGAAGCAGTAAGCGATTGATGGGGTTTGGATCTAGGCAGTACATATAAAGAGCTCCTAATACTACACGATGTTGTCAGAAATGTGGTCACGTTTCCTCCAGTCACTAACAAAAACATCCCAAGTTTCATTACAGGCTAATGCGTCGCGAGCAGAGGCCGCCAAGGAGGGAGGAAGGATGTCAGACCGCAGCGCATCCTGGTCTTCGCGTGGGGAGGACTCGGACCCCTCCCTGACCGCCTC